CTATAGCCTGGTAATCTGGCTTCCCTGTCAGCAGACTAATGGTATGCTGGTTGGCCCTCTGCCTTGGAAGAAAAGTGGAAGAAAGACTTGGCAAAAAGTGTCAAGGAGCAGTGAAGGAAAGGAAGGGGACTGAGGGAGAGGAGGGGAGGGAATGGGGAGGAAGGTCAAAGCTACAGAGTTGAAATCATTTCACATAAACACAGAAAATGGTAATATATGTCTCTTTTAAATGTTTGTTTTGGATCTGTCCACCTGACACAAGGGACCAACTGATATATTTAAGACAAAGTCAACAGGCAAACACAGAGCAAGGGGAAAAGCACATCATGACGGTTGGCTTTTCAATTTGCACATATAACACTCAATTCATTCGTGCTTGGGAAGAATAGAAGAAACTCATTAAGATCTACCTAAAAACACTGTTTTCACATTCTTATTAAGATGTGGAGAACTTGCCTTCTTCTTTTGTGGTGGATTGCTGGTGTGAGGTGGTGTGCCATTGCCTGGGTAACCTCCTCCTTGAGGCTCACCGTAGGGTGAAATGGAGCCAGGGCCCACATCTCCCATCAGCCCCTGGCCACTTATGGAACTGTGGAAGGACTCTGCAGGGGAAAAGCCTCCTTCTGACTGGGACAGGCGGCGATCAGTAATCACGGGGTTCCCCAGGTTTGCATTGAGAGGTGAGCAGGTGTATATGAGGTTGAACTCTGTCCTGAAGGCCTGCTCTCTGTTTTGGGGGTTTAGGTCTAAAGGACAGGACAACGGGTTTAGGGAACTGATCCCCCCAGATGGTGGAGCCTGGGAATCATGGCCTGAAGGGCCTCCAGGAAGGGAAAAGTCATCTGAGGTCATGGCCGCAGGGCTCTCCAAACTTGAGGGGAGTGACAGGTCAGGGAACTGAGGCCGAGGGACCTCAAAGTCTGTCTGAGGACATGGCTGAAGGCAGAGAAGGAAATGACAGAGAAATGGAAAGACAAAAGAAAAAGACAACAAAAATAAGACAAACATGAGTAGCCGGTCAGCAGCATTTAACTATCTGCATTAACACTTAGGAGTTAGCAGTGGTCAGAGAGAAATGTACCTCTGGAGAGATGGACTCTGGCCGGTGAACAGGAGATGCCTCAGGAGATGATATGTTCTAGAGGGAAAAGAAGAGGCTATTAGAAAGTTCACAGTATCAAACACACATCATTTATCCCAAATATCAATTATATTTAGACACTTTCCTCAAGGATATTGACAATAAATTAAGTTTTCCTGGGATGTTGTTGTTGCAGTCTGTTAATGTGTTTAATCCAAAAAAAGACTTAATTATGTCAAGCACCCACAAGGTTAATTTGCATACAATCAGAGGTTTATCTTCAGTGATAAATAATGCTCTACAGGTACACATTTTCATTCAACTGACAATCATAGTACACATATTAGCCTGTTGCTGAAACAAACACCTGCAATACACTACTATCTGCTTCTTAGCTTGCAGCCAATACTTTTCCATTAAAAGACACAGGGTCATGGATGTTCAGCTTCAGACCCAAATTAGCTAGGGCAACTGACATTATACACTAGACTTGTAGTTACAATCAGGAGGAAAGGTTTTCATTTACTTAATGTCTGACATGAATGCTCTCCTGGACTGTGTTTATGACTGGGACATAGTAAAAGCTGGCTGACCTACTGGGTACAGTTTACCAGACTTGGTGGTCATTCCTGAATTTTGGTGTCTCTATTTGAACTCTGACAGACAAGTTGCAAAAACTATATTTGTTGATCAAATCAAATCAAATTTATTTATGTAGCACTATAAAAGCATCCAGCTGACCAAAGTACTTTACATGGCAGAATAAAATCACAATAAATGACTAAAATAGAGTAAATAAGATCAATGCAAATAAAAATAAAACAGCACAATAACAGACACACAGTTAACATACATTCAATAAATAAAAAGGAATGCATCAGGTCCTACTGTGTATTAAAAGCCAAGCCAAATAAATATGTTTTAAGCAATGATTTAAAAGTACTGAGGTCAGTAGCTGACCTAACATTAAAAGGTAGACTATTCCACAATTTAGGGCCTTCAACAGTAAAAGCACGGTCACCCCAGCATTTATATCTGGCCCTTGGAACCTCTAAAAGAAACTAGCTTGAAGATCTGAGGGACCTTGTAGGTTTGTGCCAATGCACTAATTCAGTGAGGTAAAATGGAGCCAACCCATTAAGAGCCTTAAAAACAAAAATCAATAACTTAAAATCAATTCTAATACGGACTGGAAGCCAGTGGAGAGAAGCCAGTACTGGGGTTATATGCTCGAATTTCCTAGTATTTGTCAAAAGACGAGCAAATCTCAAAATCATTAAAAGAAAGGAATGACTTGACCTTGCTTAACAGCCTCAGGTGAAAGAAGCTAGATTTCACAACTGAGTTGATTTGCTTGTCAAACCTCAAGTCACCATCAAACATCACCCCTGGATTTTTTACAGACGACTTCAGATGTCGTGCTAGGGGGCCCAGGCCCTGGTTAGAAGCAGTTAAGTTTGCCAGGTAACCGAACAGCACACACTGTCTTATTTTCATTGAGATTTAAAAAGTTAAGCGCCAACCATGATGTCAAGTCTGTCAGACAGTCATACAGCGGCTGTAATGACCTCCCTCTTGATGCCTTTAACAGTAAGTAAATCTGAATGTCATCAGCATAACAATGAAAAGAAAGGCCATATTTCCTTAAGACAGATCCCAGTTGGAGCACGTACAAAGAGAAGAAAATGGGACCGAGCACAGATTCTTGGGGGACACCACAGGATAGGTTAGGACAGGACAGGTACCAATATTAACAATAGAGCTTCTATTAGTGAGATAAGATCTGAACCAGTTAAGAACATTACCTTGAATTCCTACGCACTGCTCCAAACGAGAGAGGATTTCATGATCCACTGTATTGAAAACAGCAGTGAAAATCTAAGAGCATATATTAATAATGCAGACTCAGTACTATGTTTTGATTTAAAACCAGATTGAAATTGCTCCTCAATACCATTATCTGTCAAAAAAGACTGGAGTTGGATAAAAACAATATTCTCCAGAACTTTGGACATAAAAGATAATTTAGACACTGGTCTAAAATTAGAGAACACTAAAGGATCAAGATTTGGCTTTTTTGAGAAGAGGCTGGACAATCGCTTTTTTAAAAGCATCTGGAACTGAGCCTGTCCTTAAGCATAAATTAATTAGAGCCATAAAGCTAGGCCCAACAGAGTCAAAAACACCCTTGAACGATCTAGTTGGTAAACAATCCAAAGAACAGTGAGATGTTTTCATGTGGTGGACCGGTTCAGACAGCATAGGCACAAACTGATCAAAGACAGTAGAATGCAGAGGAATATCAGATGGGTCAGAATTAGTATAACTGGAGGACTGCCTAATGCTAGTGATTTTATCAGTAAAATATTAAAGAAAACCCTCACATACTGCTACTGATGCCTCGAAATGAGAAGCAAGGTTACACGGGTTGATAACAGAATTAATTGTACTGAACAAGACCTGAGGTTTATGACGATTACTGATGACAATGTTGGAAAGGTAGCTTGATTTGGCAGATTTTACAGCCTTCTGATAGAGAGACAATCCCAGAAATGATGAAGACGTGGTTTATCCTTCTTCTATTTGCATTCAGCTTGCTGACATCTTTGTCTAAGTGCTCAAGTAGAGTCGTTTAGCCAAGACACTGCTTGCATCTTGGCTGCTGTGCATTGAAGGGGGGCAATAGAATCCAATATATCCTGGCAAGTGGTAGTTAATGAGTTTAACAATTCCTCAGGATTCATAAAGGAGGAGACATCATTTCTCAAATACAAACCAGAGTTTTTAAAATGAATAAAAAACTCTTCTGCTGTAAAAGAAGTGACAGTATGTCTAAAAGCAGCAGGAAAAAAAGGTTTGTCTACCAGTGACAGAGCAGCAACATTAAATAAAACAGGCAAGTGATCTGAAAACCAAGTCACAAATTTTGGTAATGGAAACAGGCAGTCCATCAGAGATCACAAGGTCCAGTGTGTGTCCACGCTCATGTGTAGGGCCATGCACTGACTGAGTGAGGTAAAAAGAGTCAATAATATTTAAAAAGTCTTTGGCCAATGGGTCATCAGGACAGCTGATGTGGATGTTAAAATCACCAAGTATTCAAAGTTTATCAGACTTTGGCAGGATAAAACCCAAGAAGTCAGAAAACTCTTGAATAAAACCCTTGTTGAATTTAGGCGGACGATAAACCACTGCACACAGCAGTGGGTAAGAGAACTCAACCACAAACATCCACTGGGACCTGCCGACATTTAAAACTGGTTTTAAAAAGCAGGCAGGGAGCTAAAAAAGGAACAATCCGGTGGAAGAAGTTCAGAAAATACATAATGCTCACCTTCCTTTAGGCAGGTCTCGGTCAGCAACATAAAATCCAGTTCCTGTGATATAAAAAAGTCATTTAAAATAAAAGTCTTGTTAGCCAGAGACCTTGCGTTAATCAAACCCATCAAGATCAATGAAGCAGAGTTCGGTGGCTGGGAAGACCATCTCAGTGATTGGAGATTGGACCAGTTTATATCTCTTCTGGGGCGTCACGGAAACTGGCAACTTGGAAGAGGCACCGAGAAGTCCGGAACAACAGGCCGAAGGTAGGCGTAAGTGAAGCCAGTGGGAGCCGACCTTGAGCCTGACAGCCACTCCTCCCCTCTTCCCTCGTCTTTTAGGCCGCTTTCTTCGTGGGCAAGCGAAGTAAGGATGGTGAAGGTATGTCGGTACCTTCGCCAGAGCCGGTGGGAGAGACACTGCATGATCCCAGCCAAATACACTGGGACACTTTTCCATGGACAATCGAATGTTAAGGGCTGTGCGATAGTAAACTAGTACAGCCGATGCATTCCAAAGAACAGTCACCAAAAACAGGGATAACAGTAACACACACAGGAGGGATCGACGGCAAGCCACAGACAATGGTGCCATCTCCTAACCGGAACCGGAAACGACCAGTGATGTAATCGTGATGATGTAAGCGTGTATGTGGTTGTGCACTTACTTCAAATTGCAGTGGTGTGTTGCAGCGGCTGGCGGGCAGTGAGGGCATGGGGGAGTAGGCTAGTCCATTGGGCAGCAGGGAACCAGAGGAGGTGTGGAGCAGCAGGTGGAGGGGGTCCTCTGGGAGAGGCGGTGTGATGGGTGACAGTGAGCGAAGCAGGTGGTCCGATGGTGCTGGTGTCATCTCTGCCATATACTTGGAGTGGCGCTTTTTAAATGGTGCATTGAGTTCTATGATTTTAAAGACAGAAAATGTGGAAACCAGCTAGAAAGTTGAAAAAATGGTAATGACAAGACAACAGTTATGACTGCAAAATGTATTTTATCTGGATTGCAGTTACAAAAAGAATGCATCCTTAAATGTCATTTTCCGGCCTACAGTGGCATGAAGCTGTACACATCAACGGTGGCAAACATTTTCCCATTGAATTCAATGAGAACGCGTGTATGTGAACCCTTTGGAACCACCAGCGCTAACAGTCTAGTCAGTGAGTTAGAGCTACACTAACTTATAAAAACACAAATATAGAAGCATCTGCTGATGTGACCCATGCTTTACAAAAAGCGATCTAACAGAAACCAGCTAAAAGCTTAAAGGCATCATTGGAGCTGGTTAACATCTCTGCTCGTCAGTCTGCTATACCCCAAACATAGCGTATGGTACACCATGCTGGTGTCCACTAGCTGAAGCTCAGTAGAAGTTAGATGATACAAAAGGATTTAAACATTTAAGTGCTTTAGAATGACTTCAAATGAGCAAAGCCATTTTGGGGTGGCTAAATCACCAGTAATAAGAGCTATGGGAGATTGTGGTCCTGACAGAGCCCTGGTCGAGCAAGAACGATCAAATAAGGCAACTAAGATCTACCCTTTTGGCTGCAGATTTAATCTGAAATGAATAAAACTGCAATTTTTGCCCATTAATTGGCACTCAGTAAGCCTTAATGACAGAGTGAAAACATGTTATTATTCAGCTTTGCAACTTTATTAAAATTAAAAACTGAAATCTCCCATTTCCATAAGTATTCTGGGCCTTAATTCAGTACTTTAGAGAAGCTTCAGAAAGCTCTTCACTTCTTGCACACTTTACTGTGCCCTGTCAAGCTCCATCAGATCAGGTGCAAAGCATCTGAGAACCACCATCTTCAGATCTCTGCACAGATGTTTCAGTGGGGTTTAAATTTGGCCTTTGGCTGGGCCTCTCAAGGATAGTCAGAGACTTACCCTGAAGCTGCTCTAGTGTTGTCTTGGCTGTACTGTATGCTTCAGGTTATTGTCCTGTTGAAAGATGCATCATTGCCCCAGTTTGAGGTCTCTGCACTCTGGAGCAGGTTTTCTTCAAGGACCTCTCTGCATTTGGCTGCAGACATCCTTTAGTTCTGATCAGTGTCCCTGTCCCTGCTGCTGAGAAGAACTTCCATAGCATGACGCTGACAACACCATGCTTCACTGTGGGAATTTATTAGTCAGGGTGATGAGCAGTGCCTGGTGTTCACCAGACACAGTGCTTGGAGTATTGCCTTTAAATTCTGTTTAACAAGTAGCTGTCATTTGTCTTTCTTCTGTCTGGCCACTCTTACATAAAGGTCTGAGTGATAGAGAGCTGCCAAGATGGTTGTCCTTCCAGCAAATTTTCCATCTCTGCAGATGACCTCTGAGATGAGTTCTGTTAGAGGGACCGTTGGGTTCTTGATCATATCTCAAGGAGAATTAAAGCAAACAAAATGCACCTGACCACAGTCTGGACTCCCAAAGCAAAGGGTCTAAATACTTTTGTAAATTTATGTTTTCAGTTTCTGATTCTTATTAAATGTGAGAAAACTAACTTTTTCTCTGTCATTCTGGATTACTGGTATCAATTGTGTGTGTGTGTGTGTG